ATTTCTTGCTGGTGACATATGAAGTTATTGACTTACCGCTGCTGAGCCTGGCATGTTGAGCCCTGTTTCTGTTTATTAATGTGATGAGGTTACTTGTGGTGAGGGTGGGTCCCCACTGTGCGGTGGCAGTAATTATCCGTGCTGCTGTGTGGCTATAGGAACCGATTGCTAGCAAATGCCAGTTTGTTGTGTTTTTTTTTCTTTTTCTTAAAAAAAGAATCCCATTACATAATTTAACAATCATTTTGTTCCATAGTGAGATGAAAAGAATTTAGCAGTGTTCAGCTGGAGCTGAATGGAGAAGCAAATTATAGAAATCACTGACATTAGTGCCTGGCTAGAGCAGGATTGTTTCCTACTGAATATTTGAAAGTATTTGGTTCAATCTAATTTTAAAAGACTGGAGTCACTGGGCTTCCACTGCTTTCCTTGGGAACTGTAATTACGTGGCTTAATAGAGCTTGGTGGTGGGACATTTTCTCCAGCTGGTACAGGAGCCATGGATGCATTCGTGGGAGGTCTGGTCGCTGTGTTTTTCAAAATGGGATTTGGAAAAGGAGCACAAACATATTTGGCTCACTTGAGAAAATATTGTTTCTTTCTACCCAAGGGCTATTCAGGGGTCCATCCTGCTGCCGTTGAACCTCATGGGCTGCATAATGGGATTTTTAAAATTTTTGTGGACAATTGTTAAAATACACAAAAGTATTCACCACAGTGTAATGAACATCCATGTACCCCAAACTAGCCCCAACAACCATCCATCAGCGGCCAATCTTGCCCCATCTACTTCCTCTCTTCTACTATTATTTTGAAACAAATATTTTCATAATATCTTTAAAAAAATTATGGTAAAATACACATAGCATAAAATTTATCATTTTAACCATCTTAAAATGTGTCACTCAGTAGCATTAAATACACAATGTTGTGCAACCATCACCTCTATTTAGTTCAAGTGTTTGCCACCCTTAAGAAACCTGTACCCATGAAGTGGACACTCCCATTCTTCCCTCCCCTCTAGAGCCTGGCCACCAACCACTAATCTGCTTTCTGTTTTTATAGATTTGCCTATTTTGGATATTTCATATAAATGGATTCATGCAATCGATAGCCTTTTTAGTCTGGCTTTGTTCAATTAGCATAATGTTCTTAAGATTCATTCATATTGTGTCATGCATCAGAACTTCATTTGTTTTCTTATCTGAATAATATTCTATTATACAAATATATCACATTTTGTTTACTCATCTGATGATGTGCCTTTTTTTTATTTCCACCTTTTGTCTATTGTGAACAGTGCCGCTTTGAACATTCAGATGGAAGTTTTTTGTTTGAACCCTGTTTTCAGTTCTTTTGGGTGTACACCTAAAAGTGGAATTGCTAGATCATATGGTAATTCTATGTTTAACTTATTGAGGAACCATCAAACTCTGCACTATGACTGCACCATTTTAAATTTTCTTGCCACCACTTGTTATATTCTGCTTTTTAAAAAATCAAGTATAGCCATACTAGTGAGTGTGAGGTGGTATCTCACTGTAGTTCTAACTTGCATTTTCTTAATGACTATCAACGTTGAGTGTCTTTTCACATGATGGTTAGTCATTTGTACATCTTCTTTGCAGAAATGTCTGTTCAACTCCTTTTTCCATTTAAAGATTGTGTTGTTTATGTTTTTGTTGTTGAGTTTTAAGTTTCTTTATGTATTTGGGCACTAGACCTTATTAGATATGATTTGCAAATATTTTTTTATTCTGTGGGTTATCTTTTTACTCTCTTGATAGTGTCCTTTGATGCACAAAGTTTTTAATTTTGATGAAATCCAAATTATCTGTATGTTCTTCTGTTGCTTGTGTCTTTGTTGTCATCGCCAAGAATCCATTGTCAAACCAAGGTCATGAGGATTTATTTACCCCTGTGTTCTCTCTAAGAATTTTATAGCATTACCTCTTGTATTTAGGTATTTGATCCATTTTAAGATAATTTTGTATATGATGTGAGGTAGGGGTTCAACATTATTCTTTTACAGGTGGTTACCCAGTTGTCTTAGTACCATTTGTAGGAGAGACTGTCATCTTATCATCATGTCATACATTTTATCTGTTGTTGTTTCTAAAAAGATAGGAACTTTTAAAAATAACCGTAGTACTATTATCACAGTTAAAAATTATTAACCACATTTCTTTAGTATCATTAAATATCTAGTCAATAGATTATCTCAGAAATTTTAAGAACTGCTCTGGCCAATGTAACTCAGTTAGTTGGGCACAGTCCAGCAAACGGAAAAGTCATGGCTTTGATTCCCAGTCAGAGCACATGCCTGCGTTGTGGGTTTGGTCCCTGATTGGAGCACATGCAAGAGTCAGGTGATTGATGTTTCTCTCTCACATTGATGTTCCCTTCCCTCTCTTTCTTCCTCCTTTCCCCCTCTCTAGAATCAATAAGAGAAAAAAAATGTGAAAAAATTTTAACAACTGTTTGCCCTGGCCAGATAGCTCAGCTGGTTAGAGCATCGTCCCAATACCCCAAGGTTGTGAGCACAATCCCTGGTCCAGGCACATACAAGAATCAAGAATCAACCAATAAATACATAAATAAGGGGAACAGCAAACAAATGTCTCTCTCTCTAAATCAATTTTAAAATTGCAAAAAAATTAACAACTTTTAAAAAAAATTGTACCTAGGTAAGTTGCATTAATTGCAATCTGTTGGTATATCTTTTAAAATGTTTTTAAATTTACAGATTTCCTCTTCATCTCTTTTTCTCCTTCCTGTAATTTATTTGTTGGAGTAGATGGGTCATTTTCCCTGCAGTTTCTTATTCTAGGTTTTGTTGATTGTATCCCCATGACGTAGCATGTTTGTCAGTCTTCTGAATTTCCTGTAAACTGGTAGTTGAAACTAGAAACTTCATCAGATTCCAGGTTTGGGAAATTTTTGCTTTGTTTTGGTTTGGTTTGGTTTTGGCAAGACTGTTCTTTAGGTGATGCATTATTCTAATCAAAAGGCAAATCAAAAGGCTGGTTATTTCTTATATATTTTAATGTTCTCAATCATTTATGATCAGTTCCTAAATCATTAGTTTATTAGAGGTTGTGAAATAGTGACATTCTAATTCTGTTATGCCTTCTTCATTTATTAGATGGAATACCACTTTTAACAAAGAGAAGCTTTATCTTTTTTATTATTTGATTACCCAGTGGTAAAATATCAGAAAGGCAGTATAAATGCTTAATTCCCCCTGCCTTTATTTACCAGTTCTCAAAAACAAGAAGTTGTTTCTTCATTTTCTTCAAACAGTGACAGTTATATTCTTTTTGAAGGGTGTCTTGATTAATACCTTCAGTTAAGCATATTTAATGTGTATTAATATGTTGAAGTTGTTAATTTTTATTGATGCTCAAATTATCCCATCTTTGACCAGTGAGAACCTCTTCAAACTGACTCCCAGATTCTTTCTAACATGATTTTATGGTCTTTGGTAGCTCCCTGGCTCTCATGTATGATAACTGTACAGTTCATATTGGGCTGACATGTGATCTATTGTGGCACTCCTGAAATTTCCTTATGAAAGCTTTTGATAGGCTCTGAACTTCCACTGGTGCTCCGAGGAATGTGGGAGGGCTTCCCTACTCTGTGTGGAATCATAAGATGACAAGTTAGAACAGGCACTGGCAATTCATTTGTAAAACTAATTTGATGAATTTTGATTGAGTTTCAACTAGGAATACTTTTTAAAAAATCATTTCTATCTGAAGATTTTGCAGCCCGGTGGGGTATCTTTTAGGACCTGATGACGTGGTTTGATGTTAGGCATGGACGTTTGGACAATGCCAAAGTCATCAATGTGATTTCAGTATGGCCCCATATTAGTTCTGTTTCTAGTGTCAGGTCAAAGACTGATTGGTAGTTATTCTGAATTGTTGTTATGTAATTACAAAAAGATTTAAGTACCTGGCATAGCTCAGTGGATTGAGCGCGGGCTGTGAACCAAAATATCCCAGGTTCTATTCCCAGCCAGGGTACATTCCTGGGTTGCAGGCCATAACCCCCAGCAACTGCACATTGATATTTCTCTCTCTCTCTCTCTCTCTATCTCTATCTCTCTATCTCTCTATCTCTCTAACTCTATCTCCCTCCCTTCCCTCTCTAAAAAAATAAATTAATTAATTAATTAATTAATTAATTAATTTAAAAAAAAGATATAAGTACCCACTAAGGTGACTTATATTGAAGGCTTTCAGAAGAAGAGGGAGAAAGAATGGAAATGGATATGTTTCTCTAAGCCAAGAAAATGAATGCAAAACCAGATAAATTGCTTTTCCTCTTCTAGTCTCTACTTCTCCATTAAGTGAGGGAAGTGTTTATTTTCCGCCTATTTTATGAAGCTGCTGAGCACTGTAATGAGTTCATATTTATAGGGAAGTTGGAGCTTTTTGGATGAAAGGTGCTAAATTAGAGCTTATTGTTTATTGAATTTATTTGATGTGTCCAACCTCCTGGGAACATTTGCTGTATTTAATTAAAAACAGTCCCTACTCTGACAGCTTACAATGCCACTCACAAACCAATAACATAAGCAGTGTACCCTTCTATTGTCCTAGCTTGGGACTGCCGAGACTACCAGAGCTCTTTCAGACAGGGAACTGATCCTGCTCTTGTAGGAGGGATAAGTTCAACTGCTGGATAAAAACAGATATTCTCAACCACATCTGAACCGCCTACTTGCCCCCGTTTATAAAATACATAGAATATGGAGATTTTCCTCAATCTCCAACTATAATTTTCAGGTTTTAAAATGAAAAAATAATCTTTCCTTTTATTACATTAGAAAGAAATGAAGATTAAAGCTTATGTTTCATATATTGTCTTGTGATCCCTTGTTCTTTGCAGGAATGACATTACAAAGCCTTCAACCGGAGCACGTTATGCTTTCTAAACCCAGTGGAAGCTGAGAAGTGTAATTATAATAATGAGATGTTTGCTTCCTTTGCCAGTTGGTGATGGAGTTTTGTGGAGCCGGCTCTGTCACGGACCTGATCAAGAACACGAAAGGTAACACGTTGAAGGAGGAGTGGATCGCGTACATCTGCAGAGAGATCTTACGAGTAAGTAACAATGCAGGATATCTTGGGAGGTGTTGAACTTTGTACCAACCTTCCACTGAAATTCATAAATGCACCAGGATCCTCTTTGAAGCTGTGTTCTAGCAGTGGTCATGGCAGGGGTGGTTGCTATGGTCTGCTGTACGGGAGGTAAGCGCCATGCTGAATAGGCCTCACGCACTCCCTTTTGAGTTAACATTGGGTGACCTCTTTTAACAAGGGATTCATTTCCAATGGTGTTTCCAATTGGAGATCTGATTTTAGGTCTTATAGATGACATCCCACTTAGGAAATGGATTGTTTTAGAGATATTTTAATCATTCACTTGAGTTTTCCATTTATGAAAGTTTATATAATTTAAGGATTGTGTGACTGTAACCATTTCAGTATGCAGAACATAGTTTATCTGATTATACCTTTTTAAAAAATTCTTTGAGTTAGTTACTTAAATTAATGAAAATAACTGGACAAGACTGTACTTGTTTGCCCAGTTTTGCCCACAAATCCCACAATCAGGCCATCTGGCCAATACTGGCGTAGTTGCCGAGCTCAGTTCAGAGAAGAGAAAGTAGTTGTTCATATTTTATTTCATTCAAACTACTTTCATTATCCTTGCTACTAACACAGAAGCTATTATATGTCCACTGAGCATTCTTACTAGATCTGCTTGGCAATCATTATTCGTTTATAACCTCTTCCTCTTCATTTAAGGAAATAAAAGTTAAAACTGTTTTTACAATGTGTCCAAGACTCATACGTTTGATAGATAGAGTATGGGCTGTGAATGGATGCAAGGATGAATGGATAGATGGATGGATGGAAGTTAAAAAAGACAAAAGGCATTAAAAATGATATTTATTCATTAAATTCAAACCACATTAGGCAAAAAAAGAAAATACAAAATGATATTTAAAAATAACATTTATAATACCATAAAAATCAAGTACTTAGAAATAAATTTATAGAAAGATGTGAACTTCACCGAAAATTCAAAATATTATTGAGAGAAATTAAAGAAGAGCTTAATAAATGGAGGTGTATACCAGTTCACAGACTAGAATATTCACTAATGTAAAGATGTTGCTTCTCCCCAACTTGATCCATGGTTTCCTTGAACTCCCTATGAAAATTGTTCTAGGTATATCTGTCGATACTGACAAGCTGAATTTTAAAACATTATATGGAAATGCAAAGGGCTAAGATACTCAAGGCAGTCTTGAGAAGAACAAAGCTGAAAGATGTATGCTGCTAGGTATCAGGACTTACTATAAAAGCTACTAAGTAATTAGAACAAAGTAGGATGGTCACAAGAGTAGACAAGTGGCCGAGGAAATCGAGAGCCCAGGAACAGACCCACTTCATAGGGAAACCTGGCTGATGACGAAGGAGCCGCCGCAGTGCCTGGTGAAGAGGTGCTCTTCTCCTTGAATAAGGTCGATGGATAATATCCCTGTGAAAACAGGAAGCTTGACACCTGCTGATTACATATTCAAAAATTAATTCCAGCTGGATTATAAACATAACTGTAAAAAAATGAAGCTCTTAAGAGAAAACACAGGTTAATACCTCCATGGCTTTGAAGTAGGCAAAAATATTTCTCAAACAGAACACAAAACAAAATTTGAGGGGAAAGCAAGGAGGCACCACTGCTAATCTCCTTCAAATCTGACATTTATCTCAAGTATTCATATGCCATTGTGTAAATTTAATTTGAATTTATGATTTATGATTTAAAATTTTATTCATTCAGAGAAAGCATGATGGTTTTTTCAGTGATTCAGACCACTTAGTGGGTACCAAGAATCTGTTGGGTCTTCAGGGCTGGTTCTGCATAATGTACCTTTCTGCACTGTTGGGTGACCCTGTAGGGGCTGATCCTACAGTCTTCAGGGTTCAAAAAGCAGCAGGGAGGTTTCACCCCATGAAACCTCTCAATACCTAGTTTTAAAATATATGAAAACAACTGTTTTCTTCCTTCTTCCAATGCAGTCATTCTCCCAACTGATCCTGGCATTTGAGACAAGGTGGCTCATTGTCAGAGACATTTGATGACAAGAAGTTTCAGAGGTGACCCTCCATGCATCATATGATCTCATTAAATACACCCTTTGTCTGATATGTGCCCTGGTATCTGCTTCCATCCACTTTGGTGGTGAGGGGGGATGGGATTTTCATTCCTCTCTTAAGGATTCAATAGCATGTTAATATGCTATGAAAACCATACATTTTAATCTGCTTGATGCCTACCCTGCACCAAACTGACTAGATAAGAAAGTTACTTTTTAAAGGTTCAAACCACTGCCTCAACTCTTCCATCACATGGTTTACATTTACTGATATTCCTAAATATATGCATGGATCTTCTTGGGCATCCGTAGTCTCGTGCTGAATTTCTTCACAAGAGAATTTAGATATTTTGTTGTGTTTCTTTTCATGTCCACCTCATCTTTTATATCATGGTATTGTTGTTGTGGGGAAAACTATTGGGTTAGCCAAAAAGTCTGCTTAGTTTTTTTCCTTAAAATAAAACACACATTTTTTTCATTTTCACCAATAACTTCATTGATTCAGATATTTTGAGTGTGTCAGCTCTCTCCTGCGTGGTACAATATTGATTGTTTTCAATTTAATGTCTCGATTTGATCGCTATCAACTTCAACTGGTCTGCCTGACCATGGAGCATCGTCCAGCGAGAAATCTCCAGCATGAAACTTTGCAAACCACTTTTAACATATTTGATCAGTCACAGCACCTTTCCCGTATACTGCACAAATCTTTTTTTGTGTTTCAGTTGCATTTTTATGTCTCTTGAAATAATAAAGCATAATATCATGAAAACGTTGCATATTTTCTTCCGTATTCAGTATTAAAATGGCTAAACAAAATTTCACCCATTTTAATAAGTTTTTTTTAAAAATGCACACTGACACAACAGTTGTCACAATACAATCTAACAAAAACTGTTTTGAATGAAGTTAAAGACAACTAAGCACTACTAGAACCATCTTACAGAAAACACCAAACAAACTTTTCTGGGCAAATCATAAATAATAAAATAACAGCATTAAGTATGAAATATTACCTTGAATTAGCAATTGTTACCATAACATAATTTACTTAGAGATACTAATTTTAGATTCTTGTTGGTTACATTTTAAAAAAAACATGTGACAACCTTAGAGCAAGTCTGTAGGTTAGAATTTATACCATGAAAAGAAGCCAAAATCAGAATAATTCATGGATAAATGGAACACAATCATTTTGGGATGTCACTGAATAATTATTTCATATAATAAACACAAAGTCATAAGTGTCATAAAGCACTAAAGATGACCGTGTTGAATGCCAACAAAAGAAATAGAAATTGTTGCTTTCCTTTTTTTAATGTGAGCCACATTGGCTAAAGCCAATGCGAAATTTCTTGGCTGTAATGAATAATATTTTATTGTGCTTAATTCAATTTGTGTAATAGAGGGTAAGTTTTAAATTCAAATATTGCCTCCCAAAAGTGGAGGGTTCAGTTTAATCAGGTTAGTTTTCTGCAAAGACAGGCAGTCCTCACTTTTCACAGTACCATTAGCTCAACTCAGGCGTGCTGAACAGTACCATCTCTCCTGTACTTCCTGAGATCAAAGCAGGTATGAAAGCATTTCATTTAGCACTGCACCATGCGTTGCTAGGGTTGCCTCTGTGTTTCAGTTTATATTGATCAATTGCCTATGGTTTAAAACATGAAAGATATGAATATAATAATGAAAGTATCTCTGGATGGGTCTGTATCTTTTTTGGATCATTAACATCTGAAATAGTTTATTTGCATCTTGGTTTATGTTCCTATTAACTCCTTTTGACTCTCCCTCACTCCAGGGGCTGAGTCACCTGCACCAGCATAAAGTGATTCATCGAGATATTAAAGGGCAAAATGTCTTGCTGACTGAAAATGCAGAAGTTAAACTAGGTAAGAACAGAATCCAGTGAGCCTAGAAACTGAAGGAATTGATGAGGTTATTTCAACAACTGTTTGGGGTGGTTTTTTTGTTGTTGTTTTTTTTTGTTATGAATGTAAACTTTTCACTGTGAATTTGGAAATCAATGTACTAAGAATGGAAAGGGAAATCTTTGTCTATTTTAAAACATTTAATTTTTATTTTTTTTCTTTTATTGATTTTGGAGAGAGGCGTAGGGAGGGAGAGGGGGAGAAAAATTGATGTGAGAGAGAAACACTGATCAGTTGCCTCTTGCATGTACCCCAAGTGGGGACCAAACCCATGACCTAGGCATGTGTCCTGACCAGGAATTGAATAAGTGACCTTTTGGTTTGCAAGATGACACCCAATCAACTGAGTCACAGCAGCCAGGGCTCAAAAACATTTTCTAAAAGCACTTTAAGGAGTGAATTGATCTGTAATATGCCAAATAGAACCATGTGCTTAATCAGTGTGTAAAAATAATTGAAGTTTTCTCTTTTTTTAAGCAAAGACCCATTAGATTAGAAGTGAGTGACCTTGAAATGTTTTCTTATATCTTACTGTTTGTTTATATTATTGCTATACCAGAACAGTGGTGACCTATTTTTTATTTAAAATATCCACACTTAGACATACTTAGAATAATGAATTACTGCTGCATCCCCATATGTTTTAAGTCAAATTTACATTGATTTTATTATTACCTAGGGCACCTATGCAAAATGGATGCCCAATAATCTACCTTACGTGCATACTGATTAACCCACTTTCATGTTCCTGAGTTATCAGTGAGGGAGTCCTTTCCTCTGGTGCTGTCCATTAGAACCCTTCCCACAACAAGTCTGAGATTGCCTGGACATGGTAGACATCCCAACCTCCACTTGTCTGCTTGATGCATGAGTAAGAGCGTAAGTTGACAAACGGTCACAGGACACACAATTTGTCTCCCAGGAAAGAATCACTGTTAATGTGATTGTTTATTTTCAGAGATTTAAATATGTCCTACATTTATATCCCAAACATTGGTTCTTACCTTTTTTGTTATTAAAGTATATAATTTTCATTTTTTTTTCCTATTTAGCATTTAGGGCCAAAGTGTCATCTCATGAATATTCCTTGTTTAAAAAAAAAGCATACATTATATAGTGAACGCAGTTATGTGTGTAGTGACTAGATAAGCTATTCTCAGAATATTTACTCTTCACTAATTATCAGTTATTGTTGAGAGAATATTATACTCCAGGCCCTGTATAAGGCACCTTTACAAATATCACCTCACATAAACATCATACCAACCCTCTGCAGAGATCGTCATCTGTGTTTGATAGGTCAGGAAACAGAAGCTCAGAGAGGCTGGTCTACTCGCCTTAGGTCACATCACTAGGAAGTGGCAGAAATGGGATGCAAATCGAAGCATTCTGCCTCCAGAAACTTAGTTCTTAATCACTTTCCTTGAATCCCTTAAATATTACCCTTTATGATGACAACCAAGCTTGCTTTTTTATTTAACAGCTATTTTTGGTCCCCAAAGTTTTGGTATAACCAAATATAAACTTTGTGATTTCCCCCTTGGCACATTTTATCCATTTATTCATGCAATTTAAAAATACACATTCACAATAGCAAAAAAGAAGAAGCCACCCAATTGTCCATCAACAGATGAATGGGTAAAATAATGGGGCACCTACATACAATGGAATATTATTCAGCTTTAAAAAGGAAGGAAATCCTGAAACATGCTGCAACATGAATTAATCTTGAAAACATTATGCTTAGTGAAGTTAGCCGGTCACAAAAAGACAACTACTGTGTGATTCTGTTTGTATGAGGTGGCTATAGTAGTCAGATTCATAGAGACGGAAAGTAGAAGGTGCGTGCCAGGCTCTGGGAGGAGGGGGTCCCCAGTTACTGTTTGATGCGTACAGAGTTTCAGTTGGGGAAGATGAAAAGTTCCAAAATTGGATGGTGGTGATGATTCATAACCAACCATATGAACGTACTTAATGCCGCAGAACTGTTACACTTTAAAACGGTTAAAATGGTAAATTTTATATGTATTTTAACAAAAACTACACATTCATTTTATCATCATATAAAAATCATTTGCCTTCTCTTAACTAGTGGACTTCGGAGTCAGTGCCCAGCTTGACCGAACCGTGGGCAGGAGGAATACTTTCATCGGCACTCCCTACTGGATGGCTCCAGAAGTTATTGCCTGTGATGAAAACCCGGATGCGACGTATGATTTCAAGGTATGACCTGTTACTTCTTCATTATGTTTCAAAACTATATGCAAAACATCACCCTAAGTCTTTCAAAGATTTCTCTCATGGCTTTGGGCTTATTATTTATGTAATCCAAAGGGATAATTAAAAAACATTAGCTGAATTTCAAATGATTAGACATTCTAGTGAGAATGTTTTTAATGAAGTCATCCATCATATCTGATTGCCTATTTGTAAAAAAAAAATATTTAAACCATTTTCTATATTCTTTTGAAATTTACTCTCACTTCTAATTAGGAAACAGATTTCTGTTTTGCTTACAGTTTAGATGTTTTGCAAAGTACATATTCTGATAACTTTTTATATTAAAAAAACAAGATAGGAATTTTTTTGTCTTGGATCATCTTTTGCTGATTAAAAATAATTAGACTTACTGATCTACATTGCTTAAAGTTAAATTATTGGAGTTTCTTTTTCATAAAAGTGAAAACCAAATGGGATGTTGGTAGCTAATTTATGGTGTTTCTGTTGACTGTTGTGGTGTTTCATAGAAATTTGATTTGTGGTTCATAACTTTGTAACATAAATTGGTAATTTGTTAATAAATCCCAAGCAGTTTTTAAGTAGAAAGGTGATAGTTGTCCCTTCCTCCAAGAAAACACTCCTCTTTTCCATTCTGCCAACCAATAATCAAATATACTTTGGGATTACTGTCCCATCAATAGCTGCAATGTCAGGTGGCATTGGTGTCATGAACTGTGGCTGCAAGTTGAGACATTAAAATTGGAGGCCACTCTGGTGTAGTTCAGTGGATTGAGTGCTGGCCTGTAAACTAAAGGGTTGCTGGTTTGATTCAATCAGGGCAGATGCCTATGTTGTGGGCCTGGTCAGCTCTCCCCAGTAGGGGGCGCACCAGAGGCAACCACACATTGATGTTTCTCTCCCTTCCTTTCTCATTCCCTTACCCTCTAAAATAAATAAGTTAAAAAAAAATAAAAAATAAAATTGGGGGCAGATGGGACATAGGCATTGTGGGTTTTTAGACTGTACAGTAGATGGAACGACATCCTGTGGTGTTTGTGCAAATCCCAGGACAACCTTGGGCGCCCCCTGATACTACTACATAGGCTGTTTTCATGTGCATGGACTTTTTACCGAAGGACTTTAGTGATCCTCTCCACATACCCTCATCTTCCAAATGAGGAAACTGAGGCAGGCTTGAGGCATTTGCAAGTGCACACTCAGTTAGTGATCTTCTCAGAGTTGGGACTTGAATCCAGATCTCCCAACGCTCTGTTTGGAGCTCCTCCCAATACACAGGGTGGGGCAAAAGTAGGTTTACATTTGTTCATATAGAAAACAATACAATAATTAATTAATAACCATACAAGAATAAACTCTGTGTTTCACATACTCACAACTGTAAACCTACTTTGTCTCACCCTGTATTACCCTGAATCACTAAGATCTTCTATATAAACCTTCAATTTACCAACAACACGGCCTCTGCAGAGAATATTTGAAGCATTCCTGTTCTAAAGAACATTTTTAGTTCTCCATATGTGGGGTTATTATTGAAATCAGGTCAGAAAGATGCACACACTGCAGTGTTTTCAGGGCCCCGTGTCCCTGCACATTGACAAAATTATTGGCCTCTTTGGAGAAATGCAATCTTGAAGGTCTGAAAACAAAATGATCTCTGGCAAATTTCTCTTGTTTTCAAGGTTAGTCACTGTTGTAACCTGACAATAATCTGCCTGGAAACAGCTGCCAAGTTAAAAATTAACCTCCTGCCAAAATAAATGTCATTTATTTAAACTGCTAATGATAAGCACACTTAAATAATTTAATTTGCAAGTTCCTTCAGAGAAGCCACTACAAAATATATGTCTCAGACCAGGACATGTATCATAATTGGCTATAAGCAATCCTTCAAACTGTGGTCATACTTAATAAGGGCTACCTGGCCTACATCTGGGCCATGGCTATTTTAGATTACTTTCTGACACACTGTGGAGAATCAGAGTGTTGCAGACATCCACCCTTAGCTTAGCCTTTTAGTTGGGTGTATTATGACTGGCTGCAGTGTATATGGACTTTTGTTCTGTGACATACAATAGATCCCCATGATTTAGTTGTTTTCAGTAGAGTAGGTAGAATAGAACTTCCAGCCAAGTCAAAGCTTGGAATTAAACTGGTGGTGTGTTGGTCTTCTTTCCTCAGATTATGTCTAAGGAACGTAGTTTGGTTAAGTGAAAAACTTTGAGCCCAGTGTGGTAACTCTCATTGTGGACAAAGCCTGGTGTTTGAGTAACAACTGGGTGAATGGTGTTGAACAGGGTGATTTCAGATGTACTGGAAGGTTCATGTGATGATAAAAGGATCCTGAGACATTAGAGAATTGAAGGTTAATTCTGTATCTTTCATTAAACATAAAGAATCCTGATGAGAGTAAAGATTCAACTGTATCAGTCATTTAGACCTTAGTATGAATTAGTTTATGAGGATTGTCCTGAGTGTAGGCTATACAGAGGAGATTGGAAGTCACAGAAAGAAAATGAGCTTCAGTGGTCACTTGTCATGGGTCAGAGAAGAACCCTGACAAAAGGGTGAAAATAAGAAAGACTGGGTGGAAAGGGAAGTTTGGGGGCTCTTGGAAGATTCATTTCAACCACATCACAACTTGATCATGGATCAGATAAGTATGCTTTATATAATTTTTCTGCTCTTTTCTTGGCACCAGGTCTTATTCTTTTCTTCTGTTCACTAGTCTTAGGAATATGGTTTGTCACCAGGAGACAACTTGACGAAACTTTGACTTTCAGAACTATTTATTCATTCACTCGGTGCATATTTATTGAATATCCACTATGTGTAAGGAATTGGTCAAGTTGTGTCTGTGTGTGCAGGTCTTGACTAGAAAGTTCATATGGCAGCCCCATCAAAGTTCAAGGGTTTGGTACTATGTGCTTGGCAGCCCATCTGACCAAGCAGTGCATCCCAGCCTCAGAACCTGATGCCATTGCTTTGGGTGCTCTTGAACTCCAGATACTCTTAGCCTAGAGGGCATGTTTAGAATAAAAGATGACTTGAAGGCCATTGGGCTTTGTTAGAGTCCCTACCACAAAAGCCCTTCCTTTAAAACAAAGACAGCATGCAAAGGAGAAGAGTGTTGTTTGCTTTTATTATTTAACTTGTTGATTGATTTATTATTTATTGATTATTATGTATTCTTTGAGTTGCCTAAGATGTCTTTAAAGACTGCTGTACATTTTTCTAAAAACTACCGTAATTCAGTAAAATAAGGGCCTCTGTGGGAAAGTAGTCTGAAGAGCTCATGCTTTTTATTGCGATCTGGTTTTGTCTGGTACCTACCAGCTGCAGTGAGTACTGACTGAAAATAACCCCTCTCCTAAGGAGGAGCGCCAGAATCTCATTTGCCTGGTGTGTTCACTTTCCCCTGGAGGCCCTTCCTTTCTTGTTTTCAGAAATTCTGTCAAAACACTTCAAGCAAAAGGAAAGGTTTCATTTTCCTGATAAGTATGTGGGGCAATAATGAAAGCTTTCTCATTTAATAATAAGTATTCAAGAAATCTGAAATTAATAAAACTGTTCAAAATTTCTAGGCTGCTTGAATTGTTATTTTTTTTAATTTGAATTTCATTTCACTTGGATGAGATTTGTGAAGTATTTTTATAACCCTATACACTTACTGCTTTAACACAACCACTCACTCAAGAAATTTCTCTGCAGCCGAGAGCCCATCGGTAGGGAACCGGTGGAATGAAGACTAGCGCATCTGTCCAGGGGAATATGATGTAGCCGTTTAAGTACGCGACAGGGCGGCATCCACATGGAAGTCGGGCAGGTCCCCAGATACAGCATTAGGTGCAAAGAGCAACTCATAATATAGCACACATAGCCTCACTCTCTCCCATCCCATGCATGTATGACATGTGGGTGGAGAACTTAAAATGTTTATTTTGTGTGTCTTTCTGTACCATTCTGCCCCCCAAACTGGCTTTGCTTTTATATTAAATCAGTATAGTAAGAGATGTACAGTGGAATGGCACATCCCCTGCACCCCCACCCCCGTCTTCCGGCCCAGTCTGAGCTAATGTCGCCTGTTACTCTCCTAGACTCTGTCTATGAGACTTTGCACACAGGTGCTGTGGGTCGCCCGCAGACGTACGTTTCTCCCCCAGGGTTTGGGGGAGTATTGTGCCTGTGGAGCAAGTACTCATTCTTCTGTGTTACAGTTAATTGGCTTTATTCAGGCAGGATAAAAAGAGCTACTCTAGGTAAGAGGCTTAGCTGGAGATGAAGAGAGTAACCTGCCGGTCGGGGAGTCACCGGCATGCCGGCAGGGTGTCACACGAGAGGACAATATTCCAATTGCAGATTGCGAGTTTCGCTCTCAAATAAGGCCTGGCCTCTGTCCACTGAGATTCAAACAAAGGTTCTATTCCTGTTCAGAAGAAGAGAAGAGTGATACCAACACCGAGTTATTATCACCAGTGGGAAGCAGAAACGGCTGTTAAACATATTTCTGTTTGTTCTGTGTTCACACCTGCTTGTATAAGATTCCTTAGTCAGACACACCAGCACCTCCTGCGGGCTGCCTGCTGACTCCCAGGTGAAGAGAACAAGCTATTCTTCCCACGTTTTCCAAATGTAGATGAACAAGGGGCTAGAGATTACTGTCCCCAGCTTGTTTTATTTGTGAAATGGGGTTACTGATAACCACCTGTGCTTGAACATCAGCGACCCTGAACTCGCCACCTCAGTTCTGTTTACACATAATGAAGTATGTAAGTGTGTGACATAGTAAATCAGAGTCAGGCTTCTGAAGTTGGAGAGGACTGGATTACAATGTCAACCTGTTCACAGTATTACCTCAGGGAAGTTATTTAACCTTTCTGAGTCTCTATAAGATGGAAATAATGAATTGTATATTATCAGGCTTTGTTAGAATAAAGTGAGCTAACATATAAAGGAGTTCATGTCTAGCATATGTAAGTACTTGG